ATGTTGGAAAATTGCGTTGTCCTGGCCAGTACCCGAAGTTTTCAGGGGTGGGACACAGGGTCGGCAATGTCCCAAAAATCGTAGTTTTATTTTGCCCGTGCACGAAAGGAAAAGGGGAAAAAAAAAGTCCTTTGTACTGCAATGATGTCGGGCAGGGTAGTCTAGGAGGCCGTGCTCACACTCTAGAATGCATCTTACAACAAAAACGGTCACATCCTGAAACTTGTTGTTTTCCTTTTTTTTTTCTCTTTTGTTTGTTATGTGTCCCCTGCCAACGAGGCAGGGCGGAATCCGTGATCTGCTCTAGCTGTGTTTCCTCAGATGATTGTAACCTTGATGTATCCAGCCGTTTTCAAGGCCGAATCCGTGTTTCCCTTTTTTTTTTCTTGTTTTCTTTTTCTGGAATCTGACAATCTGAATCCGTGATCTTCTCGAGTTGTGTTCCTCAGAGGATTGTAACCTTGATCACACTGGCACTTATGGGAATGTATCTTGCCATTTTCACGGCCGAATCCGTGTTCCTGTCTTTTTTTTTTTTTTGAGTTTCTGGAATCTGACAACTTGGCCACGCGGCTGAGATGCCCTCACTGAGGGCACACTCACACTAACACTTCCGAGAATGTATACAGCTGCAATCACGCCTAGAGCTTTGTTTCGTTTTCTTGTTATATGAGTTTTCACGGCCGCAACCTTTTTTTTTTTTTTTTTTTGTTCTTCCCGTGAGAGTACCATAAAGACATGGAGTGGGACCCAGGCTCGGCAAAACTCGGAGCGCAGTGAAAATCAGGGTTGGCAAAAACAGGCTCGGAGGTACTGGTGGTTTAACGGTAAAAAACGGTCACTTGGGGAGATACATCCGTGACCAGACACATTCTGGGATATAACGGTTGCAAAGGACCTTGATTTTCTCTTCATTTTGTAGAGAAAATCTAAAAAAATCAAGGCCCCATGCAACCGCGATACAACGGATTGCATGGGGAGGAGAAACACATGTTTTAGATGCATCCGGAGCTAATATTAAGTCCTGATGCACTTGGGAGTTGGTCGTTACATTTTATTTCAGTTTGAGGCTTGTTGTGGGGCCATGAGGCTAGGGATAAGGCCATTACGGCAGTCCAAGAAGTAACGGACTGCATGGGGGTGCCTGGGCCAAAAGGAAAAGGCCCTTGGCTCACCCAAGACACTAAAAAATAGTGTCTTTGTCCTGGGCAGATAAAGACGGTAAATGGGGGCCACGAGATGGTGGATCTCGTGACCTAGAATATTTGCGGCACTTAAGGCCCATGAGAAGAAGGGATCGGGGCTGCCGGGGACAAGGAAGCTCCAAATAAAAATGGAACGTTAACGGGAATGATGTCGGGGACTAGATGGGCCCAAATAAAAATAGTTGAAATTTGGGACACGTGCCGACGGGACCATTGCCGAGAGTAAAAAATGAAACTGGCATGGGAGAATGGCGGGGACTTGAGTAGTCCCAACGGAACCATGAGCTAGCAAAAAAGGAGGAGTGTGCAAGCAAGTAATGTCGTCAAGATCAAGATCTTCACGGTGGAAAATATTAGCCATTGTGAGTGCAAAATTGAAAGGAGCCCAGGAGAGGGTGCTAGGAGGCAAAAATGAGAGAGGAAGGGTGAAGGAGAGACTACCCAACAGTCAGAGATATCCCGGACTAGCAAATCACAAGAAAATAAAGCCTCATGCAAAAAATAAGCTGCCAAGGAAAAATCGGGGTACAAGGGGGCTCAAAAATGAAGAAACGGAGGCAAACGGGAGTGTCGCGGTCGCCCATAAAGTTGATGATTTCCACCAAGAAACAATCCATGGAATCCTTAATTCATCACCCCCATGAACATGGGGGCTTCATTATTGAAATCCAAGTTACAACGGCCAACTGCAGACCATGAGTCTAGCCATGAATGAGGTTTTAAGGCCTAGAAAAAGGGTTCAAAGCAGCTTGACACTTGTCACAACAGAAATAAAAAAAAGGAGAAAAAAATGAAAGAAAAATGAGGGACGATGATACAAAAGGGGAGAAAAGACACAATAGGGAATGACAGATCCCTACTGTGACCTCATCCCTCCAGATTTTGTGGAGGGCAATCCAGATCGCAGAGATAATGCCCTTTGAAACGGTATTCACCAGTTCGTAGTAGCGAATGCAGATCCCAATGCTCGATCCCTAGTTCCCCATCTTACCTGTGTATAGTATTGATGTTAACCCGTAGATTTGAGCCTGCGACCTGTCGAAACGCCAGTGGTAGGTAGATTGTCGTAGGTCACAGCTTAGAAGGGAATCGAACTGTAGACTTGTAGGGTAGGAGTCTAGACAATTCCGAAGTCGTAGTTGTAGGATGCCTGAAAGGTCAAGGTCGTAGCTGCTACTTACCTGAAGGGGCAAAGTCGTAGCTGCTACAACACCGAAAGGCCAAGTCAGAAGCTTCTAGAAGTGGCCTTTTGGAGTTAGCCTGCATACAACAGAGGCAAGTGGTCAAGTGGTGTTAGACCACCTTGTTGAGTCAACAGTCCCAGCTAGTCAGTCCGGTCCTGTCCAGCAAGTACAGTCTGGGACTGTGTGCACATCGTGGGCCAAGGGATACACGGCAGACCAATGCAGCACAGAAGTATAAATCAAGAAGCTGCGTCCAACCATTCACTCATTCCTGCGGATGCCATGCGGAAGCGCTGCCTCAACAGCTTGTGCGAGGAGGTCTGCAGTGCGCCCAAAGACGAAGAGGGCAGTGAAGCGTAGTGTAGCGATAGGGTAGCGGCAGCCATAGCTGCCATAGCTGTAGTAGTGTGTGTGTGTGTGTTGCGTGGGGTTACAGAGTGTTGCATGTGGGACATCCAGGGTGATCTCGAGTATGAACAGTGAGTTGTATGGGTGCACAGTCGCCATAGCCAGTTGGAAGAGAACTCATATCTGGTTACGATATCTTTGAGTACTGTGCGGGCGCATGTCGCCAGTTTGCTGTATCGCTGTTTGCAAGCATGATGAAGTGTGAATAAGTCGAGTCTGATTGCACTGGTATCAGAGCAGGTACCCGCTGTTCCACGCGCGCGGTGTGTGTAGGGCCGAGGTGCCATAGCTGAAGTGCCCGCCAGAGGAGGCAGTCCGCCATAGCGGACCTCGAGGTGGAAGAAGACGCCGCGCACCTGCAACAAGAAGACCACGAGAGAGAGAGAGAGAGAGAGAGAGAGAGAGAGAGAGAGAGAGAG